TGATATTTCCATCCTAGAGCTAGATTCTTGTTCTAGTTACGTGGGGTCAAGTGAAGAACAGTTGCACCAAAATAAGAAAATGCCTTGTTTTTTGCCAGGTTGGCTGGGACTGTTTTGGGTTTGGTTCCATAGTTTCATTCTGTAACACAGAACAATCAAAACCTTTAAAATGTACTGATTATACATTTAAAACACAACCTAAAAACAGGCAGGATCTCGGTGACCAGTCCAGTCACCAGATATTTAGGAAGACTAATTCAAAGTTATAGCTCCTCTAAATTAATTTCTCTAATCCAAGGAATATTCATGATTTTTTAATATAGAATAACTCCAACAGGAGTATCTTTATGTGTGCAGTTAAATATTTAAATCTGAGGGGGTATTTAATGTGCAAATATTGACTTAACCATTAATCTACTTTATTTCTCCTTAATGTCTCTATATTGAGGCTGAGAAAGCTTTCCTCCTTCCTTCATGGAAATCCACACTTCATAACCCAAACTTTTCGGTGTAAATGAAATTAATCAGGTAAGTTAATCAGAAGATGAACTTTACTGTTGGTGATAGTTTAAAATTATCATATTCTCTGATAATATCTCTTCAGAATAAATATCCTGAGCTTTGGACAGACTTCATTAGGCCAAAAATGATTTAAAGAGAAAAAAAGACATACTCAAAAGTGATAAAAAAGATGGAATCAATAATGCAGTGAAATATGCAAACATAAATCCAAATGTGCTTTTTGTCAATATTTGAAGATCTGACAATAGTCATCATTAACAAAATCCCTGCAACTCCTATTCACACCCTGCTCAGTCAAAAACACCTCTGAAGTCAGATCTTCAGAAAACAACATTTTTGCCTATGCTTTCATTAAGTAAAAGTAACAGCTTGAAGAAACCTGAAATAAAAATCTATGTGAAATTGGGCTGTCTCACACAGAGCATCAGGACAGTTGAGGCAGTGATGTTTGCAGCTGAGCAGCTCAGGTTCAACTGGATGGGGAAGGGATGCATCCCCACGATCCATCCCATGACTAAAGTCAGCTTCTCTGGGCCTCTACACTCACATTACCATTCACGTTTAGTGTATGGATCCGGCACAGGAGCAGACAGAGCAAATATGGTAAGCCCTGTTCTTGCCAGCAGCCAGAAGAGTATCATTGAGTACAGGAGGCCCAGGATTTCCAGACACGCCAAAGCAGTACTCACCCTCCTGAAGGAAGTACAATATAATCCCTTCTCACAATATATTTGGAGACAGTAAACCTGTTCTTGCTCTATTTTATGCTGTAATTTAAGGGTAACACGATTCAGGAATCTTTTAACTTCCATGTAGCTTATTCAAGCAGTGGAGAATTTCTTTTTCCTTACAATTTTACACTTGTATATAGCACAGTCCAAGTGCTTCCCCAGAAATGTCTATAAGTGTGTGGGCAGGTATTTATAAAGCTGGGAGCTTTGCCAGGTGAGCCAATGAGATTGCACTGTCAGATACCCAAACAGAGACGCGGTAAGGTTGATGGAAACTGCAATCAGCATTACTTACACAAGAGACTAACTTATAAGTCAGATTTTGCTTTCCTGGTAATAACACCTTCCGAAAAGATAGTTAATGTACCATTTAAAGTTGGAAAACATGACACTGTTGTTCAAGCCAAGTCTGATTTTTTTTTTCTTTACCAACAGAGTCATAATCTGATAAGCCTCCTTTTTTTTTTTTTTTTTTTTTTTTAATGAGAGCAGTAGCACTGACAACATAAAAACTTTCCTTTTCAAAGTAATCTAAGGTATTAATATATTTTCTCCAAACTGCTTTTGTTTAAGTTTCAATCTTGCAGCTCTGTTTTTCATCAACAAAATTTGCCTCTCATTTCTGGAAGAGTGTGTGAGTGTGTTTGTGTCAGATACATTTTTTAATTTTTTTCCTTCCCAGTATAATACCTCATAAAATCCCAACTTGCAGATGGTGATGAGAATGAGAAAGCAGTAGGAGGGTGTGTTTCTGTTCACATTGGAATAAATTTAAGTTTGTGTTTCCTAACATGTTTTTTCTGAATTGTTCCTTGGACTAGGAGCTCACAGTTCCAAACTCATCATATGACCCCTTGGAAAGTACAGAGGTATAAAAGATATTATTATGTTGTGAGTCTTCTCCCTTTCTCCTCCAAGAAGAGTTACAAGTGGTACAAAACAATCCCGAGTTTCCCACAGAGATGACTCCATATGCGGACCATATGGTGACTTGTAGATCTGGTAGAAATGAAGCATTTACCCCAGTCAAAGCAGGCACCTACAAATTGACAAAAAAAAAGATAAATCTGATCTTGCCAAGCTGGCAGTTACTGACAGCCTAGCACGCTGTGTGTTTCCAGACCTCTGCAGGTACATGAGCGCTAGTTTAGAGAGAGGTAGTCTGAGTGAAGTCCTCTCTTCATCATGTTTCTTAAAGATAAAACAACCTGCAGAAAGACACACAAGACTCAGCAACAAGAGTGGAATAACTAGATCAATATGTGACTGTAGATAAGAATATAATAAGTGGTCTTGAGGTTATTCTACAGTATGATATTTCAGAGTTGTCTAGAGAGCTCAGTGTTGTCAGGTTGGACACAGGTTTTTTTCACTGTACTTGTTCACTCTGAAAAATTTCACCTTCCTTTAGTCTTCAGTGCTCTATGAATGAAGACATAAATCTAAGATCTCTTATCTCTTTTCCTTGAAACTGACATGTTTTTTGAAAAGCTCCCTCTGTCACACCAGGAGATAAAGAAGAACACAGAAGACTAGGTCAAATGAGCAGGTGAAACTTTTCCTTTAAATGTCTGGCAAATAGAGAAATATCAAGTAGAAACATCCCTCCTCATTCATCCACAGGTATCTTCACTGGAGTTACAAGACTTGAAGCCTGGCCAGAGTTGTTGTGGATGCCCCATTCTTGGAAGAGTCTGAGGTAAATTTTGATGGGGCTTTAAGCAACCTGATCCAGTGAAAGGTGTCCCCTGCCCATGTTAGGGGGCTTGGACTAGATGATTTTTAAAACTCCTTTTCAAAGTACCAAAACAAGTTGATGATTCTATATTTCTATAGGTTGCTGTATTCTACCTAATGCTTAATTTTTAGCCCTGAGACACAAGTCTGAGCTAGTCTGAGAAGAAACAATTCTCTCTAATTTCTAAGGAATCCGCAGTGCACAAGAGCACCTTACTAGAGTCTGGTCTTGTTGAAGATTAGGTGCACTTTCCCTTCAACTATAGGAACTGAAGAAGTGAGACAAACATATCCAACATAGCATGATAAAATGCAGATGGTGTTGTCTTACCTATAGGTTTGCTGATAGAGCAAATGTAGCCAAACCCCACAGCTGAAAGAAAAATGTGCACTTGAGTGTGTGGTTACTTCTGAAAGCACAGCAGCTGCCTCCTTTCTACTAGTATTGCTCTCCATATTAAAGTCATTAACCTATTAAGGTTTATGAGGATTGAGATAAGAGAGTAATAGTCTATTGCTATGGATGAAGTGTGTGAATCCTCACATTCACAGTATCTTCCAGAAGGCAAACTATTTGACATAATTAAGCATGAAAAAAAATGGTTACCCTGTAACAAGGTCTGACTTTACATATTCGATAAGAGCAATCTCTTCCAAAATAGAATCATATTTGCCCTTTCTGGAGAATTGTACAGTCTAACATTTTAGAAAATGAACTGTCTGGCAAGGGGACCTCTTTAGAAAAGACAATAGGGGCAGACAGGGAAATGTGCCTTGTCAATAATAACCAAACCACCAAAATTATATATTTACTGAAAGCAATTAAACTAATAATAAAATTAAAGTTGTCCTTCTTAGATGGAACAAACCAGAAAGCTCCCTCCAAGCTACAGAAATTTGAATGGTCACAGTGGCACCACTTAAGTATTTTATTCTTTAATGTAGACCTTGGTACGTCATCAAACAGACACATACACACACAGACAAAAAAAAAAAAAAAAATAGTTGATGCAAATAAAAGAGATACTTCTGACAACAAGAACCTTTTACAGAAAGAGTAAGATATTCACACTGAGAAAGGAAAAGATATTCTGAACCTTAAAGGATTACATAGTTGTGGCTTTGATTTTCCCTGATATTTTAAGGGGCTTTTAAATATCAGTGTGTGACACTAGGACCCAAAAGATGTACGAACCAGGACTCTTTCTGATAAGCAATTGCAGTTGTAATTCACTAGGCACAGTTACACAATCCACAGCCATATGCTGAACATGGGAATTTCAGGCTCTGAGCTCTGTGTACTTGAGCATTCAGCTACATCTCTTTACACCTTCTCTCAGAGCTATAATCAAGCTGTCACCTGCCTCACTTAAGGCAAAGTGAAGAGGTCCTCACAACTACTTAATTTCATAAAAAAAGTCTCCAGAGACACTTCATCCATCAGTAAATAATTTAGGAAGTTTTATACATGAGTGTTTTATTTTTTACTGGTTTTTAACTTCCTGGAAATTTTACAGAAAATCTTTCAATCGGGCTAATGTTTGAATTGTTCCCTGCTTATTTTCTCCTAAAACTTAGAAATACTGCCAGCTTTCCACAGGGGACTACAAAATTCAATAAAAGGACCTAGTTAAGACATGGACGGAGCTTATCAGCTCTATTTCTTCAGGCTTAAGAAATTACCAGCTCTTGAATGCTGCTATTTGTTTGAGTTGTACATAGCAATAACAAACTTTAAGCCTATTCCAGTTCACCCAGCAGAGCATATAAAAGACTCTGTTGTCTGTAACTTTCTGTGCTTCTTGTCTTATTTTGTAAGCTTATGGTGACACAGACAGACCCTGCAAACTTCCAGGAAATATCTTTGTTGAAGGGAAGGGAAAGAGAAAGGGAAAAGGTTAAAAAGTGAAAAAATACATGAGAAGAGAAAGGCTTAAACGTAAACAGGATGATACTTAACAATAGGGAGGGAGAGTTAATTGAAGAGTTGCACTTCAAGAAGTGGCACTTACAGCAGTGACGGAAACAAATGCCTACTACATAGTAATTAATGGAAGAAAGGAGAAATACGCAACAAGGTAAGCAATCTTAAGTGTCACAGTGTGTCACAGTACACTCATGAACTTGCTAAAACAAACTATTTCATCATTATAAATTATTTGTTGTTTTCTTTTTACCATTGGAGGCAATTTGCATTCATTTGGCACAGAAAAGAAGAGCATATTTGTTACCATCTTCCAAAAAAACCTTAAACTCAAAACAAAAATTCCAACAGTTACAAAACTTTCATATTTCTCGTTGAGCCTAAAGGAGAAACAGCATTTATTCTTCACTGTACCTAAAAATGATTCAGGGAGTGATTGTTAATAAAACACTTACTGAATTGATAAGGTTCAAATCTCATGCCCTAACCACAGTAGCTGTGATAAGGAAAGCTGAAGAGGAATAGTTTGAGAGCCATGAGAATATATAGTATGTAAATGTTTGTAAGAGGGCAAATGTAAAAAACCCCAAACAACTGGAAGATGCAGATAAATAAATGGAATTTGTCTTATCTATTCATCTAAGTAGCATCAGAAACAGCATGGATTTAAAATGTATTGTCACATGTGCTATACAAAAGATGCAGATTCATGGCATTAGGCATAACATAAAGGATTGTTGATTTTTTTCCCCCACGGATATTTCTAATTTAAATAAATACATCACATACTGAGTCAATCCTTCTAACCTCTTGAGTTTATCTATTTTAAGTGCAACAGGGAAACTTCAACAGCTGGCACACATTTAAGATGTCATAAGCCCTTCATTGTATGTCACATCAAATACTGGGACCAAAAACAAGCAATGGCTTTCACAGTGTGTATCAGAGGGTGTGAAGAAAAGTGGAATTGAAAAAGGAGAAGATGGAATGTATTTCTAAAGGAACAGAACAGAAGCAAAGTCTGTCTCTGTGTTTCACTGCCAACCAGAGTATAATTCATGTCTGGTCATCAGGGATGACCAGGGCAAGGGATATTTGCAGAGGAGATGCAGTTTCTCCCATGGTTCCAGCATAGAGGTGGCTCTCTACTGACTGGCACAGCTAAGCACTATTTCACTTTTAAAAGTTGCTACTCTTTCACTGAAATAGAAGATAAAAACTAAAAAAAAAAAATCTTATGAGGTTGACAGACCTGAGTCTTCAGTCCCTTTGCTCCCTTCACCCTTGATAGAGCCTTGAAGGTGAAACTTTTCACATTCAACCTCTTCTCTACACATACATACAGTAATAGCAGGGTATGTCTTATCTAAATAGACCAGCTGAAAGTTAGACATCTGGCCTAAACCAGCAGTCTGGGCCCCTTATCAGCAGCAGAGGGAAAGGGGCACGTTTCCAATGTGGTTCATCCCATCTGCTTTAAATGATTTTCTGTGAATGGATGAGCAGCCTCTAGCAGTGCCACAATTACAAATTTATTACAAATGAGTCTAAACAACTGGTTAATATTAGCTGCCAATTCAGAGAGGGCTAATGCTAAACAAGACAAATTTCATTTGCAGAACAAAACAAGAACAAAATGCCTTATTTCTTGTCTTTTCTGGCATATTTGGGGCTTGGGGCACAAGATATTCCTTGCCTTTGACTTGAAGGGCAACAGCAATTGCTCCATCCCCAGAGCTAATGGATGTGCAGGGCAAAGGAACAAGATTTGATATCCTCAAAAAAATAAGGACCCCAGTAGCTGGTATATCCCTGGCCAGCCATCATGTTCTCATTTGAGAAGAAAGATTATGTACAAGGACACCAGTTTCATGTGTTTTGTGGTCCTATTGAGTAATAAAGGATGTATCTGTTAGCTAATGACTGCTCTTCAGATTTATAGCTCTAAGGTTTTTTTTGTATGTAACCAATGTACATGTTTCTGTTGCCTTACATTTCCAGCCTTTAATCACTGCTTGTCATTTACTGTTGTTAATAGACAAATAATGTATATTGCATATGAAGACAAGTTTCCACTGCATTCTATCAATAAGACCTTGAAGATGTTCTTCTTGCTTTCTTTTAAATTAAACAGCATGTTTTCTTTGTAACAATTTTCAGGTATTACCTTCAGCAAATGTTAAATTATTGTTGAGAATGTTTTAGAGTATATCATGCATCGTGTATTTTGTTTTACCTGAGCTTTAGATGAAAACTCTTCTGCTTTATTTTTTTTGTCAAAAAAAAAGAGGATTGCTGAAATGAGCAAAGCAGAAGAGTTTTTGGAACCTCTTCTACCAGAAGATAACTTAATGACTTTCTGTGAGATACCATTATTTCTACATCTTAATTAAAAATACACCTAATGCAAACATATTTTTTATTCTTTCATTTTCAGTTTGTGTAATATGCTTTGAGATGGGGGAGGGCTTTTAAGATATTGTCCGAATTAAATTCTATGCCATTTTATAGTTATATACACAAAACTCGAAAGCGGAAAGTGTGTGTTATGCATTTGTTCATATTAGAGAAAAATGTACTAATTTTTTTAATATAGTATCATGACTAACACATCCCAAAATTAAGTCAAAATAAAAATATATGCATTTTTTCATTTGTAGAAAATGACTGTGTCCTTAGATCTTCCAACCCCTACAACCTTTGCCATTAAGACTATGAAGATCCGTTTTAACCATTCATAGTCAAATTTATTTTGCCTGTTTTTGGTAGTGTAGTGCTTAGATGTCTAGTTAAGAGGCTCTCCAAGGCTTCTTGCAAAAAGAAATTGATAAAAAGAGTCATTTCAATAGTTCATCTTAGCTTATCTAAATTGTTCTGTGGAGGTACAAGAAGTTTATATGACTCATTTAAAGTAAATTTCCAACATTTAGTTGGAAAATCCACAAAAGGATTGAGATTAATTTCACCTGATATTCATGGAAATTGTAAATAATTACTTAATTAGAGAACTAAAGGTATGTTTAGCTGATCCTATCAATTTTACTAATAATTATTAATTAATTTTCTAATTGTGATTAAGAATTTTTAATTTCATCTTCAAAAGTCTCACTAGAAATAAATTTTAGATGCTTGATGAAGGTATTAGAACTGCCTTAGCTATAAAATGCAATACTCTTATTCCTTGGAGCATTTAATGTTCTGTTGCTTTTGCCCTGAATGACATCAGTATAGTAATTTGAACTGACAAACAGTATTCTAAGAAATTCCATGTTTCCAAATTTCCATCTACATTCAAGTCAATTCAGATATAAGACATATGTATAATAGACACAAGTTGCTAGGACACCTGGAATTTAACTAAACAGTAAGCTTACTGCACGTCTTAATTAAGAAGCAATTTTTGAGTAAGGTACTGTGTTGTCATGCACTTTTTTTGCACTTGCAAAATGATGTAGGGCCATCTGTCATTTTTGGAGTGCATCATGTAAGGTTTTGGCTCTGTACTAAAAAGAATAATTCAAAATAAATTAACACTTCGAATAGACTGTAAGTCTGCTGCTCCTTGCCTCAGAGAAAAGAGCATCTACATTCTTTTGCACTACGCTGAGTACAATTCAGTCAGAGGACATAGTTCACTGCCTTACCAAGGTTACAGTTCCTGTATTCATAATCAGAAGTGTGGCTTCTGGCAAATTTCAGTCAAATTCTCAGTGGGCAAGAGGAAAATGTACCTGCCTGATGGCACATGCATTCAAGATTAAAGCTTATAACAGTATTCTTCTCACTCTAAACTGATATGAATCCACCGCCCCTTACGGGCCTCATATCTCTTCTCATTAGAAGTACTGCAAATTATTTCTACTGAAAATTATTTTCACACTAGAGAAGCTAAGCCTGTGTATATGTACAAACCTGTGTAGGTGTGGGTGCTAGTAAACGGCTCTCATGCATATAATCAAGTAATTCATAGCAGTTTGAAAGCAAATTGAAAAATCTAGATGGTTTGTAATGTTGGATGTGGGATCTCATCCCTTCACAACTAAGTTGTCATAATGTGATGGAAAACAACAGCTTTCCAAATGTGTTGCACCAGGATTCATGAAAAAAAATTATGAAGAAACTGGAAAGTGGAGAATCTTATTTCATCAGCTTTATAAAAGGAACCTGCAGATCTCCAGCGTTGCCATTACACTCATCCAGGTATGCACTCATTTATTACCCTTACAGTGATCAAAATGATGCCAATGGTACCATTCAGAAAGGAACACATTATAGGTTCATGAATTAAATGCAGTCCAGAACCTAAAAAAAGAAAGATCATTTCCATTTTTGAAAAGGTATTTTGCTGTATTTTATAAGGAGAGTTCACAAATGTGCTTAAATCCTTTGGGTCATAGTCCCATATTTCTCATTCTTAGCTGTGGACAATAGAGAGTCCGACTCCAGGCTAGCAAGTGTTTGGCAGCTCAAAGAGGTGTGTCCCATTCCTCTTGGCCAAAAGGACCACAAGGGCCACAAGGATGCAGGGGAGAAAACAGAAGAGAGGATCCCTCAGGCTCTGAGAGGGGTTCCAAAGAAGTCTTCTCTCCAAATATAGATAAATCAAATAAGCATGTGCCTTTGGCATCTGTGCAATGCTTTCCTGAAGTCTACATTGCAGGTCCAGCTGATGACTCTATGCTGAAATGAGTCACCACTGTTCACTGAAACACCATCCAAAGCACTTGGAATGTGACTAGAGGCAAGGACCAGTACTTTTGGATGGTGCTACTTATGACAAGAATTTGGGAATAGTCTGCATCCAGATAGTTAGAATTTGAATCAAACAGTACATTATTTATTTTTACTGCTGCCTGACACTGTTTCTCAAAAATCAACTATGAAGTTTATTAGAATCAGCTTAAGTAAGAAAAATGTTGCAGAAGAAAACGACCTCATAACATAAAAATGTTTATATTAGCAAGAATTTTCTTAGGCTGTTTAAAAGACCTAGAAAATTTCTTTAGATACAAGTGATAAAGGAGATAATGCCTACTTATTCTTCACTATTACTATAAACTTTTTCTTTCTAGACATTTTGACTAAAAGGTGATTAATGTAACAGTTCATACTTCTAAAATAAGCAATTTGCCATTTTAGTCAGACACATTGGCC